AGCCTGTTCCTGTCTCCCGGGAAGAAGACTCGCACCTGCGGCCGCCTCAACACCCCCTCGACGGACAAACGCAGCTGCCGCGAAGCTCTCGTCTCGACCTCCTCCGCCTCCTCGTCCGCCTCTCCACGTGTCCTCTTCACACCCGAAGACACACACGTAACCACGCGCACACAGATGCAACAGAACTCCGAACCACCCTTCCCTTCGATTGCCAGAGTCACTGAACGCGCAGCCCTCGCCACGTTCCCGATTTCGAGTCCGATTGCACCCCAGAGCAGCGTTCAGTGTCAACGCAACGCTACGGCTCACCTCTCGTCGATTGCTTCACCATCTTCTCCACACAGTCACCACACACTTTTACGCATGCCCTAAGGCTCACCAAACGTTTTCCTTTTTCCCTCCTTTTGTTTGACTGCTGACAACATGCGAACGGCATCAGAAGCGAGAGCATCCTGTCTAGTTTTGCTTAACGAAAACAGCTCTCGCATGCGCTGCCTACACGCATCGGAATTCCACTGGGAAAAAACCCCGGTTTCAAAATTCATATAGGGGATGATCACTTTTGGGAAACTGCGCGCCAATTTGAATTCTCCCGCTCACTGTCGATGCTCTTGACCGGCCGCCTATCCCTTCTCCGTCTGCAGCTGGCCGCTCTCCCCATCTGCCAGAGCCTCGCATCTGCCCATCTCGCATCGATCTTCCGCCACTTTCACACATCATCGTCAACAGCTGAGTCGGTCACCATGGGCATGCGCTGCGAGTGGACGCGCATAGGGGAGGGTGAGGGCAAGCCCAGCAGCCGCAGCTCCCACTCCGTCAACATCAACAACAACAACGTCTATCTGTTCGGCGGCGAGTCCGCCCCAAGAACACCCATAGACAGCAAGATCCACGTGTATGACCTCAAGAGCGACACCTGGACGACTCCCGTGACCCTCAACGAACCCCCATCCGCGCGTCTCGCGCACGGGGCGGCATTCGCGAACGGCAAGCTGTACGTGTTCGGAGGGCAGACGTCAGTGGCGGCGAGCGTGGACATCGAAGACAAGGACAAGCGCGAGGAGGCCACACTCAACGACCTGTTCGTCTTCGACCCGGAGACCAGCACCTGGACTGAGGTGGGCATGGGCAACAGCAACAGACGGCACACCGTCCACACAGACACACACATATTGCCATGGTTCTTTCTCCCTGTCTGTGTGCTGGTGTGTAGCTGACCAGCCAGACGCACGGCCCAACCCCCGAGCGCCGCAGCTACCACACCATGACAAGCTACAGCAACAAGATCTACCTATTTGGCGGAGTCGGAGTCAACGGACGGCTGAATGATCTGCACGAGTTCGACCCCGCGACCCTCACGTGGCGACAGCTGGCGTCACCTGACAGCGACAAGTGCCCTGGTGGGCGAGGCAAAGAATGGGTGGGGTGAGAGTGATGTGCTTGCATGTGTGTGTGTGTGTATGTGTGTGTGCGCGTATGACAGGGAGAGGCGGCTCGGCGGTTGTGGCCTACAAGGGGAAGCTGTACGTCGTCAACGGCTTCGCAGGTAGGTGCCTGAGACTGAGCAGGAAGGCGGCACGGCACAGGTCATCCACTTGCATCTGCAACCCTTCTCTTCTTTTTCCATCAGGCCACGAGAGGAATGATGTGCATGAGTACGACATCGGCAGCAACACGTGGCGGCAGACCGAGTGGACGGGCGACAACCCACCCAGAAGCGTCTCGGCTGTCGTCGTCGCTGGCGGCGGTATCATCACCATGGGCGGCGAGGCCGACCCATCAAAACTGGGACACGCAGGTACAGATCACACCACAAGCAAGACACCTCCTCAGCACACATACGCAGACAGACGGCTCATGCATCTCCCTCCTCTGTGCAGGTGCGGGCAAGTTCACCGATGCCGTGTTCCATTTTTCTCCGCGTACGAACCACTGGACCCGCCTGCTGTGCGAGGGGGTCGGCAATGGCAAGATGCCGATGCCCCGTGGCTGGCACACGGGGGCAGCACTCAGCGACGGCTCGGGGCTGGTGATTTTTGGTGGCGTCGATACCGACAACGCCCGCCTGGATGATTTTTGGAAACTGACTCTGGTGATATCTGCGTCAGAGCCAGTGGAGTCGGGCGGGCAGGTCAGACGCAATTACGACTGAGTGGCAGGCAGACAAGAGGCAGGTCCGTGGGCTATGTGGGCTGCTATGCTAAGCGGTCGGGTGGTTTGAAGGATGGGTGGATGCATGTGTGTGCGCTGTTCCGTGCCTTCAGAAGTTGCTGTGCTGGTGCAGCGCAGCGGTGCATGTTTTTCGGTTGCGGGTCGTCTTTATCGACTCTGCTCACGTACCTCTGCTGTACGTCTGTCTGTCTGTCTGGATGGGCCATGGGCGTCTTCTATCGCACCACGGCGGTGCTTCGTGATTTGTGTGTCGTTTTGGTCTGCGTCTGCCATCGAGTCGGATGCCTCACGGGCGGTTGACGGCTGATGAACCAGCTGTCGTCCAGATGACTTTTTGGCCATCCGACCCATGGCTGATGGACGCAGACCAAAGACACACTATGTGTATCACACACACAAGGATGATCCTGTCTTCTGTCGGCTGCTGATTGGTGGTTGGAGTATGATGCGGTTGTGCATCCGCAGGGCGTGTGTATGTTCCAACTACTCGGATGGGCTATTCGCTGATGAGCCACGGGCAGGAAGCCGACACTTCACTGCTCGTATCTCTTGAGGGTCTGGCGCATCAGGATGGTTGGAACAGCACCATATCAATGAGAGACGTTGAGACTCGCCAGCCGAGATGATCCGTCAATCCATCAGCAGCACCGAATGACTTGATCCATATGACCGCACGACACAAAGGGCACCAGTCACACGTCACACCGCATCACTATCAATCTGTCTCATGGAAAAAAGACACGGCATCCGTCATTGTGGTGTACACATGGCATGCACGCACAAATGACCGCACCAACGCAGCGCCACCCCACAAATACACCACGACCCACTCTCGCAAAAAAGAGTACCCACCAGAGCACAACCTGTACTTGTGTGCCAATGCAGCCAGCAGACAGCTACAGCCAAGGCATGGCCATGTCTGCAGGGCTATCTGCAGAGACCTCACGGATTTCAAACCGCAGCTCACCACAGCACTCGCTCCACCCATCAGGCCTCACCACAGCAGCCAGCTGCCCAGCGATATTAACACAGATAGATAAGGCAGCCAACTGAACACCCGCCACTCGCCTCCACCCTCGCCGCCTGCAGCACATCAGCACCGTCCCTTCCCTCACTCATCCTGTTTGCCCATGATCCTTTTGAACCGCTCCTCATTGCTGTAGTAGACCAGCGCCACCACAAGCGGGATCACGAAGATGTAGATGGACCACGCCGCCACAGCAACGGTCAGGGTGCTCTCAGCGGGGAGGAAGGAGAGCACCTGCTGACTCGCCAGGCTCGACAGCTGCAGACGTGGGCTTCGTTGGAGCAGTGCTGCGGTGCTCCTGGACGATAACAAGGGAGATCTGCTGCTTGGAGAAGGCGCGACGAAGGCATCTGCCGATGTTGAGGAGGCGATGAATAGGATCAGCAGCAGCAGAACGATGCAGGTGGATAGATGAGTCCGTGATGGTGTTGGCAGCGTCATCCGAGCGTCAGATCTCCGCTCCCTGGCGAATCGTGCGGCCCGGCTGTTGAGTGCGTCTGCGAGGAAGGCCAAAAGCGGCGCCGCTTGAAGCTGCAGAGCGATATGTTTCTCCTCCTGTGTTTGGACGCCTGGTGGGCGCCTTCCTTGACAGCGGTCCGTGTGGTGCCGTCGGTGCGCCACTCGTAGCTGTGAGCGAGCGAGAAGCGCCACAGCCCTCTGACCGTCTCAAACCACTCATCTGATCCACACACACGACAGATAAGCACACACAGACAGAGAGGGTGGGCATCGATATCCGCTGCTGACCGACCAAGGCTGGTGGCCGTGTCAGTGAGGCGTTTGTTGAGCAGCCGCGGCAGAGACGGCGCCTCGGAAATCACACTGTCCAACACGTAATACGTCTGCGCCACGCACACACACACACACACGCAGAGAGAAACCACACAGCACACAGCCAGTGGTGAAGCAAGCAGGCATGAAAGAGTCCTTGATGGTCAGTGTACGTTTGTCGAATGCGTGACGTTGGCCTTTCGCGTCAGTTTGGCGATGATCCAGAGGTCTGAGAAGGTGATGAGTCCCCGCTGCTGCAGCTCCTCCATCTGCATGAATCGACTGCACCACACACACTGCAAACACACACACGTGAACAATAGCGTTTGCCCTGCCGCTGTCTTGTCGGTTTGACTCACTCAGGCACCTCTCATTCATGCAGCGCCGATGAGTCAGTCGATTTAAAGTGCACTCAGGCAAGACAGCACACTCACTCATTCACTGCCTGTCTGTGTCTGTCTGTCAGTGCCGCGTGAGCACATTGCATGATCCTGGTGTTCTCCAGCGGAAAGTCCTCGCCGCGATCGGCACTCATCTGCGAGCTTGGAGCGCGAGTGCGGCCCTGCCGGAAGGGATCTTGTGAGCGCAGCTGAGCGAGAGCGGCATCAATGACAGTTGAGCGGGATGTACTCTCAGCGGTGGACCGGAGGACCTTCGCGGCGGCAGGAAGGAAACTGACTGATGCTTGTGTCAATGAGAGAGTCACCAGACTGCAAGGCCGACATGTGCTCCGTCGGCTTCTCACAGACAAAGAAGCTCTTCGCCGCATACTGACCTGGCTGGTGGATGACAGCGAGAAAGAGACTCAGCTAGCAGCGGCAGATCTGCTCGGAGTTCTTGGTGGGGAGATCAAGCCCGCTCTTGCAGCACTGCAACCCTCTCAACTCGTGGATGTGGCTGCTGTCGTTGTGGATCTGGTGGGCCGGAGGCGGGCCGGAGAGGGCGGCAGCGGCTACTATGGCCCTGACGAGAGCCTCTACGTCAAACACATCCTCGAAGCTGATGCTGCAGTGGATGTCGTGACCTATGTACGGCTGTTGCTTCTCGCCTCGGTGCTTCATGCTCTGCATGATGCTGCACCGGACGAGGGCGCTCGTCTACGCGACTTATTCCTCGCCAGCCATCAGACGACCGTCAAGCAGTGCCTGACCGTCATGTGCACTGACGTTGAGGGGTCTGTTTCGCGTATGGCGTTTTCCGTCCTGGAATCGCTGCTGCTGCCATTCAACCCACCGCCGTCTTCACCCGAGGAGGACCTCACCCCTATCCCCCTACATCTCTCCCTCCCACTGTTCAGCCTGCTGGTCGACCACCTGCTGAAGCTGGCGGAGGGGGCCACCCACATGGACGCACAGAGATGGCTGATGGCGCTGGAGCTGCCTTTTCTGGTTGCCACCGCAGCCTTACAGAGGCAGAGCACATGTAAGACGCACAAATGCTGATGAGTGAATCGAGTGACCGGCCGACCACTCAGACACTCTGTGTGTGTATGTGTGTGTGGGGGGGTCCATCAGCCCTGCGCGTGGAGGACGTCAAGCTTCTCGTCGCACAACACCTGTATGACAACGTGGAGCTCATCGTTGGCATCATCGCCTCGGCAGATGGAGGGATGCTGGCTGTCGCGGCGGCCACACTAGGTGCCAACATTAATTGCGCCTTAAGACTAAGCCACCAGCTGGACTTTCCCACCCATCTCTCCCTCTCGTCATTCCAGCCACTTCTCCTCAAACCCTCGTTGATCACGACGGCCAGCAGAGCGGCCAATGCCCTTGCTGACCAAGACGCCGAGCTACCGCCATCCCTCTACCCCGTAATGCTCAGCTGCTTGAATTCACCGTCCATGCTAGCTACAGGTTAGGCAGAATGGCCAGAGAAAGAGAGACAGAGAGAGAGGGAGGGAGGGAGGGAGAGAGAGAGAGAGAGGCGCAGGAGGGGACACAAAGTGACATGCAAAGACACAGTTGGGTGTGTGCTGTGTTTCCTTGCACAGGTTCAGGGGACACTGACGCAGGTCATCGAGTGGTAGAAGCTGTCTGCCAGCTGTTAGGCGAACCTGTGGCGCCGACACTCGTCGGCTGCATCGTCGACGACCTCCAGTCAATGATCAGGTGAGCGGGGTGGCTGTCACATGTTCCAGGCGTGTGTCTGTCATGGGCTGTCCTGCAGGTGGGGTCATGACTTGGTCACTCTCGGCAGGGCGACAAGAAACCCATTCGTCAACCAGATTGCACAGGTGGCACCGAACAAAGGAGTGTTCTGCCTTGCGGCCATACGTCGATCGCAATGTGTCCGTGTCTGATTCTGTCGTTATTGCCAGTGTGAGGCCGTCCAGCAGCTGAGACGCCGCCGTGGCCTGTCAGCAGAGGTGAGGGCCGGAGTCAACGAGACCACACGACCAAACACATCAGCCGATGGACGCACAGATGCCTCTCTGATTCCCTCCTGCCTCATCTATAGGTCTTGTCCTTCATAGATTCGCTCCCCAAGACGGCCAACTCGGACAGCAGCTCAGCCACGACAAAGCTCTCAGCCCCAGCCAAACACAAGACAACCACTCACACTCATCATGCGTCAGGCCCTCGCTCGCCGCCTCGCCCATCGACATCGTCTGGCCGCCTCGATGGGCTGGAGGACGGCCTCTTCTCGGACGACATCGACACCTTCACTGCGGCAGTCAAAGACGTTGCTGGCTGCCTGCGGTACGGCGCAGTTGCTGATCCATTCCTCAAACGGCTGGCCATGAGGTTCGCCAAGGAGAGGACGGCTTTCCGCCGCTTCCTGATGCGTCTGGTGGATAGCAGCGGAGTGGAGTGCCAGGTGGCAATCGCGGATGTGCTCTTCTGCCTCCTCCGCAGGACCCCGTCGGATCGTGTGTCGGCGATCGAGGACATCTTCGAGATCCTGACGTGGAAACATTTGTCATCGGATGGAGGAGTGGGGGGCGACCTGGGGGGGAAGGTCTACAGCGTCATCGAGTATGATATCGTCAGGGCATCGTCAGGCGACGAGCCGCTGCCCCGTGCCATCGATGTGGTGACATGTGCGAGACTGCGATTTATTCGATACGCTCTTGAAGCGGCCACCGCCCTCGAGGCTGCCGGAGGGCCCCAGCTTCGCGCGAGTGTCCTCCAGACCCACCAAACGACCCTCCGGCAGGCGATGGATGTGATTCGTGAGCGCAGACACGTATTATTGGCCAACGAGGCAGTCATGATGCTGAACAAGCTGTTCGAGCCCAGCCCCTTCGGCCCGTCAATTCAACTCGTGCTCGAGTTCGTCTCCATTTTCGTCGAGAGTCTGAAGCAGCTTGGCGATGACGAGACAGAGGGGACGAGGCTCATCACACTGCTGCTGGATAATCCCATATGCTACCTATTGAACTCGCCACGCGAAGGTCAGAAAAGTGTATATAGATGCGTTCTATGGACAAGGCTGCCGTCCTTTGTGTTGACAGGCATGATGACGGCGTGGCCGGCCATCAGGGCGGCTCTCAACACACACGTCTACGCTAACATGGACATGCTGGTGGACCGCATCGCGGCGTCCGATCCTTCCTCTCCCCTGGGCTTCGCGGCAATCCGCACCGTGGGAACTCTCCTCCAGCTCGCTCTCATCCTTTGCGTCCGAAAGAGGAAAGGTAGGCAACGGAAGGGATGGCGCAGGAGCGGCCGTCATGTGTGTGTGTGTGTGTGTGTGTGTACAGGTGGCGGTCCTCTTGCGCCTGATCGATTCGAGGATGCGATCGAACAAAACGGTGTGGGCAAGATCATGGCCGCTGCCCCTCTGCCGATGCAGTCGCTTCGTCGTCTACTGCTGGATGCCGCCGTCCGCGACAAGGTGGCCAACCCATTGCGCATGGACTACAGAACAGTGATGTCCTCCGGACCGGAAGTTGCGACTGCTCTACTAACGCCAGCGATGGCAATGATAGGTCCGTCAGTCAGTCAGTAGATCTTCCAGAGTCCCTCAACCACGTGTGTGCGTGTGCGTGTGTGTGTGTGTGTGTGTGTGCAGAGGATGGGAATGCGCTGTCCTTAGTCGAGTCGGGGTTCATGTCGACCTTGATCTCCCTCTTGGACAGCGCCGAGAGGATCAGGTCGATGGTGGTTCTCTGCATGTGCTGTTTGAAGAGCCTCATTCAGAAAGACAGGAAGGTCAGCAAAGAAAAATCACGGACCTCCCATGTCATTTGGACGAGAGTGCTGTGGTGCGTTTGTTTGTGTGTAGGTGTTGGGGACCGATGGACTGTCGAAGGCGATGTGTGACATGCTGCTCAAGGACGCACAGGGACAGTTGCTCCTTCAAGGGCGGTTCGTCTTCTATGACAGTGACCGCAAGACGGCTGTCGACATTCTCAAGAGCATCGTCAGGTGAGCAATGTGCTGCAGACAGGAAAGTCCGACGCATCATTGAGTGTCTCTGCTTGTGGCTGTGTGATGCATGGCAGCTATGGCAAGTCGCAGGTTCGCAAAGGCGCGCCGAATCCCATCGTCGGGGAGATACTTCAGGTGTGCACACCGAGGGTCGTGTGTGCTGTGCCTACCTGGCTGTCTGCATGTGCCACCATTGCAGCTCGAGTCCGTCAAGGCGATCCGTGACCCCAAGAACGGCATCGAGGTCTCACGACAAGTGAGCAACACTCCTCCACAGCACGATACTCTCCTCTTCACATCTTCCTGCCCCATCAGGTCGTCGAGTTCTTCAACTCCCTCGACCAGCAGCACCAGAAAGACACCCAGGCCACGACCGCCATGTCGGCTGAGCACTTGGCGGCCCAGGAGGCCAAGGCGAAGCGGATCGAGGATGCCCTCCTCAAGGAGGAACGACGCGAGAAAGAGGCCAAAGAGAAGAAGGGCAAAGACAAGAAGAACAAGGGCGGCAAGGGACAGCAGCAGCAGCAGCAGCAGGGGCTTGCAGGTGGGGATGCGAGCCCCTCCGACGTGGTGGTTGAGCCATCGGTGCCCTCCACTGCCGCATCCACCAGGTAGGGAAGCCATCCAGCTCAGACCATGGCCGATGGAACTGTTTAACTCATGTGTGTGTGCATAGTCGGGTTTCTGCTGCGGAGGAGGTTGAGGCGAGTCAGCCGGAGCCCTCTCCGTCCATCGCTGACACGTGAGCAAGCCATCCACTTGACGAGATGCCCTGACACATTCGCTTCCTCTGTGAGCGAGGCAATCTCTTTGGTTGCAGGTCTGGTGTGCCATCCGTGTCAGCCGCTGCGGGCAGCGATCGGCCTGGTGATGGCGGTGATGCAGTGAATTCGGCGGCTGATGGGAGCGACGGTGACGGTGATGATGAGGACCGCGACGCTATGCTGGTCAACTCGGCATTTGCACTTTATGCACGGCAACAGAGGAACGAGGGCAAGAAGAAAGGGGAAACACAGCACCAAGCCCACCGCGACGCCAACACCTTATCTCAACAACCAGCCATCGCGCCCCTCACTCCCACCAACAACCAAGACAAGTCAGACGGGGCAGATGGGCCGCCCTGCACCTGCCGCCAATCAGGACCGTTATCGCGGCGGCAACGCACCCATCCGGATGCCCGCTCCCATGTCCGGTGCTCTGTTCCCTAAGGGTCGCGTCAAGATGTTACCCGGCAATGGGGGGATGGCCCCTCCAGTGCCCAAGGGTTCGTTGATGCCGAAGCGTCCGTCGGTGCCCCGTCATCTGCTGTCTGACGATGACAGCCCGTCTGGGTCTGCGTCGCCTCCCGCCCGGCCTGTGGTGGCAGGGGCCTCACGACGATGTTTGCGCACCAGCCGCCCCCGCTTCCCTCTATCCCCTTCCGACTCCCGTTTGCCGAGGAGCTCCGCACCAGGCCATCGCTGCAGCAGCCCACTGGACAAGATGACCAACAGCAGCCGACACGTGACGAGAGGCCGAGGTGACGTCGATTATCACAGCCAGGAAGAACTGTACACATTATTTGTCATTCGGCCTATTGTGTCATGCAGTCTGTCTGCTGCTGGTCCTTCGCTGAGTCCGTTCTTCGCCCATATGCCTGTCGGGCCCGCACCACCGGCTGCTGCTGCCGCTGCTGGTGGTCGTGGTGCTGGGGGGCTGTCGACTAATCCGTTCCAGGACATGTACTGTGTGCCCCCCGCGCCGGCCTTTCGACCGCCACCCCCGCCGATCGATCCAAGGTAACACGGGCGTGCTGTCTGCCTATATGAGCAACACTTCTATGGATTTCTCCTTGCCTGCTTTGCTGTGCAGCTCTCTCCATCCAATCGGTTCCCCTCTCCCTGGTAGCTACAATGGCGGCCCACAAGCGTCTGGCTTCTCGCCTCACCCATTTGGCTTTCCTCAGCCCTGTCCGTCTAGTCCAACGCCAGCTGCTGCGGCTGCTGCTGCTGCTAGTGATGGTGGTGGGCTGTCGGCTGACTCATTCTTCTACGAAAGCGGTCATGGTGGTGATGGCCTCGAGTATGATGAGGAGGGATATCAGCCACCGTCATCGAGCAGTGCAGCCTACCCCTTCGCTGCGGCTCCGACGGCCTGGGCCATGCAGGGAGGCAATAACGGCCCGTCCAGAGGGTACACAGAGGCACTGTGTTCCATGGCAGAGAGGAGAGTATCACTGTGTTCCATGGCTGCTATGTGCTTGTGTGTAGGTTTGGTGCGGTGGGTGCGGGTGGTTCCTCTGATAGCGAGCATCTGGTGGATCAGCTGTGCCGCCAACTCGAGCTGAAGGACCAGCAGGAGGCCAAACGGAAGGACCAGGAGGCTAAACAGAGGGCTCGTGAGGCCAAACGAAGGGCTCGTGAGGTGCAGGAGGCTAGAGAGAAGGAGGAGGCGCTAGTACGGCAGCTCCAAGAGGCGCAATGGACGTAAGGAAGGCACGCACGGACTCGCCCAGAACGAGCAATCACTCGTTGCATGTTGTCCTGCCGTCAGGATTGCCAAAATGACGGCTCAGCAGTCCTCTCACCACCATCAGCAGCAGCCCTCGTCCAGCAGCAGCTCATCGGCCGCCCCTCCCCCGTCATCATTCGCCCAGCCACACCCATCCACACACGCCAGCACAACGGACCACCAGCAGCAACAGGATGGCGATGACGGTCCCGACTGCTCCATATGTTTCGGCGAGCACGGCCCATCGTCCGTCATGTACATCCCCTGCAGACACATGCACATCTGCACCAAGTGCTACGCCGACCGCCGGAGGGCCTGGCGGCAGAACCTCCCCCAAGTGAGGGCCGAGAATGCGCGGCGTGTGGAGGTCAACAAGGAGCTCATCAAGGAGGACAAGGAGCCCATGGCCATGCTGCCCGAGGGCTATCTGTGCGAGCAGTGTCAGACAGAGGTCGCATTTGCCTGGTCGGTGGAGGAAGTGAGCCGCTGGATGCGGCCATTCGTCACCGGCGCACCCTGACTAGCATCGCAGTGATTGGCGTGCCTTAGTGGAGAGGAAGAAAAGGTATGTCTGTGTGGCGACTGATTTAAGCAAGACGTATGCGGTTGAGAGCTCTTTATGGCCAAGTCTCTTTCGTTTCCTTCACTGCATAGCCAGCCATTGCGTCCGTCAGTCAGTCAGTGCATGCATACATATGTACATATATACTGGATATCCCTGCCTGGCTGCCTTGTCTCTTGGTCGCCTGCTCCGCTGACTGGCTGCAGTAGGGAGGATCACTCATTGCAATGCATCCGTGTTGGTGTCCATGTGCATACAGACTTACTTACAGACTCCAACACTCAATTGCCCCTATTTGCCGCGGATCAGTGCTGTCAGGGTCTGCAACAGACCCGAAGCACCGGCTGCTGACTGGGCAGACAGCAGCTGGCCGACACGCTCTTCCAGCCGCTGTATGGTCATCTGCTGCTGGTTGAGCTTGCGTTCCAGCAGTAGCTGCTCTTGGGCGGCTGCCCAGCTGCCTCCTCGCTGACGGCGGGAGAGTCTGGCGAGGGAAGCGACCACACCGACCACTCCCACAGACACTCTGAGGACCAGAAACCCGCAGCGCCCACCACGCCCACCACACCCTCGCCGCCTGCAGCCCATCAGCACCGTCCCTTCCCTCACTCATTTTGTTTGCCCATCATCCTTTTGAACCGCTCCTCATTGCTGTAGTAGACCAGCGCCACCACAAGCGGGATCACGAAGATGTAGATGGACCACGCAGCCACAGCAACGGTCATGGTGCCCTCAGCGGGGATGAAGGAGAGCACCTGCTGACTCGCCAGGCTCGACAGCTGCAGACGTGGGCTTCGTTGGAGCAGTGCTGCGGTGCTCCTGGACGATAACAAGGGAGATCTGCTGCTTGGAGAAGGCGCGACGAAGGCATCTGCCGATGTTGAGGAGGCGATGAATAGGATCAGCAGCAGCAGAACGATGCAGGTGGATAGATGAGTCCGTGATGGTGTTGGCAGCGTCATCCGAGCGTCAGATCTCCGCTTCCCTCTCACCTTGGCCCCGTGGATGATCGCACATTGGGGCCCCGCAATCTTAGCGAGCATCTGCTGATCTCTCTCTCTGTGGCTTGGCGGCGACATCAGGTTGTTGTCCAGGATGATGTTTCTGAAGCGCTTCTTCCCTGCCAAGCCCAAACATCAGGACTTTGACGCGCCCGAGGACCTCAAAGTCAAGTGTGCTCTCGTCGGCAACGCCAAATCAGGCAAAACAGGTGACGATAGAACAGAGCAGCACCGTGCCAATGCCATTCTGCCACCCATCTCCATCATTCAGCGGTATTCAAGCGGTATCTGATCAATGAATTCGACGATGAGTACATCCACACGGAGAAGGCGCAGCTGGGCTCCCGTGTGTGTCTGATCAACGAGCCGCTGCTGGCCACTCTGACAGTTGAGCTGTGGGACACCCCCGAGGTCATTGAGGACCCCAACCAGATACACAGGGTCTTCAGCGACGCACACGTGCTGGTCATCTGTGTGGACGTCTTGTCGGGCGGCGTGGTGGACTTTGTCAATGCGTGGATAGAGAACGAGCTCGTGCAGTACTACGTCAAGGAGAACCAGCCGATCATATGCGCACTCATCACCAAGGTGAGCCGTTCAAAAGAGAGAGGGAGACATTCTCTCTTACCTTGTGTCTCTTCTTCTCGTGTGTTCAGTGCGATTTCTGTGCCCCGTCCCAATTAGAGAGCCTTGCCGTCGAGCTGGACGAGCTGGTGCGGGACCCCAACAAGTCCCTCGACCTCTGGGTGGCCGTGTCAGCCAAAGACAAGTCAAACCTGGAAGGACAAACGTACGCACACGAGACACAGAGGGAGGGAGGGAGGGAGGCAGGGAGGGAGGAAGACACATGTCTCTGCGCTTGGTTGTGTCGTCAGGGACATCTTCAAGCGTCTCTCTCGGATGATCTTGATGCGCATAGTCGAGGAGCGGCATCGGCTGCGACACCAGGTGTCGTACGACGCCAACAGGGGCGACTTTGAGCTCCTGCACCAAGCACTCTTCAAGAAGAAATCCACCAGAAAGTGACGAATGGGCTGGCCAGTGGAGTGTGGCCTCGCTGCTGCTGCTGCTGCTGCTTGTGGCCTTTGCTGCGGGGAAGCTGTTATTGCTGTCCGCTGGGGGTCGTGGCGTGGGGGATTTGGTGGGTAAGTCGACGGTGCGTGTAAACCTTCTCTTTCTCTGTGCATTGCCTGGGGCCGCTCGAGATGCCTAATGTGTGTGCTGAGTTGGTGCATTGACAGCAGCCATTCAACGCTTCAACGCTCATGTAAAAAATGGTGTCCGTCGAGCTACCCCCTTTGTCTTTCAAAAACAGCACACACGCACAGAGCCAGCCAGACGGACAAAGAGGAAAGGGCCAGACGAACACCATAAGGCATCCACACAGAGGGCGGTCACTTCCACTTCACCCACACATGAACACATTGGAAAAAGAGTGTGTGTGTGTTGGGGCCACCCTGCAGTGAATGGCCTGCCTCCTCTGCTTGGCAGCGGGGGCGGCCATCACCAAACGCAGGTCATATCACGGCCATACTCCTATGTTGTCTGTACTCCAATTTTATATTATGTGGTGTATGTGGTTCCTGCCCTTTGATGTGTGTGTGGCGCATCCATCCATCCATCCATCGATCGGCTTTTAGAAAGAGAAGAGAATGGGCTGTGAGTCAGGTAAAAGGAAAGGAGGCCACACGTCGCTATCTGCCGTCGGGCCCAGCGCCCTAGCCCCCCTATGCTCACACCCATTCATCACCCATGCATCATGTATCGCATCAACCCCCCTCTCCACCTTCAGCGACCCTTCTCACCGATCCGTCCGTCCGTCCGTCCATCCAACGACTACAACCCTTCAGCCACAGCACACGCAATCGACACACGAGACGGGACGCTGGGCTAGGGCAGAATGGACAGAGCATTGAGAAGCTCCACACGGATCTCCTCCAGAGTGCCCCTATCCTGCTGCGCCGACCTCAACGCCCTCTCGCTGATGGTGCCCAGTGTGTCAGCCCACGGCCCCGCCCACTCGAAGCCAGACTGGCCACGCAGCTGCTCGATGGGGCTCGCCAGGCTGCCCAAATGGTCCAGCGGCTGGCCGGTGGGGGTCATAAGGCGGCTGTGGTGGTCGTCCCACTCCGCCACCATCAGCCGCTCGTGTAGCTGCACCACAGACTCCTGGGTCCTCCTGTCGTTGTCATTGTCGACACCGTGGATGTCGAACACGGTGGAATCGGGGCAATCGCTCCTCATTGCCATGTGGGAGAGCATCCCGAAGGCCCACACCAGCGTCGGCTGCCCCACCCACATCGCCCGGCTGTCGCCCTCTCCCAGCAACACGCCCTCCGCCCGTAGTTTCCCTCCTAGCCTCGCCATGCCGTCCCAGGCGCGCCTTTTCTTCCCTGACGGCGCAGCCTCGCTGGCCGCTGGCGGCGGCACCGGCACGTCGGGCACCCCACGGCAGAGGGCCGCCAGCTCCGGCGGCGACAGCCATCGAGTGCTGTCCGGGATCTGCCTTTCGGCCTCCTTGCGATCATCAAGCAGTGGGACCAGTGCCGCTCTGGTGCCCATGAAGGCCGGCGGGGTGGGCGCGTGGCCGTCAGGTGGGTGCAGCGACGGGCCGGGAGGGCGGATCTTGGGGCGGATGGCGATTGTGTTGGCCAGGTCCAGCAGCCTGACGTCGTCGAGCGTGAGTGGGGCGTTGCGGGAGAGCAGGGCATCCCACCGCACCATGACATTGTTGACGAAAGCGTCAAAGTGCAGGATGCCCCGCTTCACCGCTGCGATGTGGGCGAGGCAGATCAGGTAGAGGGCGCGGGTGATGACGGTTACTTCATCGACGAAAGCCGCTATCGCCTCGTCGCTGTAGGCGCCCTCCTCCAGCCTCTGCAACGCCTCCATCAGGCTATACGCCCTCTGCATCTCGCTCACCCCCGTCCAGCCAAAGAGACGGCCCACCTCTACCCAGTCCTCACCTGCGCACCCACAACACACACACGACGAAAGCAGCACCGATGTGTAAGTAGGCCCCCTCAGTCTCTCTGGCATCCGTCCATCCACCATTTCCATCTCTCTCACCGAGTGGGGTCATCGCTACGCACAACGCCTCGGCCTGGATGCCCTCGGTGTTGGTGTAAATGGCGGGCCGGCGGCGGTTGGTGTTGACGGCCAGGAGACTGAGGAATGGGGAGTTGCCGCCGAGTGCCCTCAGGCGGGCCCCCTCCACCTCAAACTCCCTCGCCACCTTCTGCTGCAGCCTCGCCTCCATGTCCGCGAGCCAACCTATCTTGAAGGCGGCATCCCGTCCGATGCCCTGCCCCTCATATGGCGGCTGCAGGACGCCTCGTCGCACACTCGCTCTCGTGCCGTGCCCCAGCCAGCCGACCTCGTCATCTGGCCATGTGGCGTGGTGGCCGTCCTGCAGTGTGAGAACCGCTGGTGTCGGTGGTGTCGGTGCTGCTGGTGGTAGGCTGGTGCTGATGTTGTGGGCGTTGCTGGGCTGAGGCGCTGACACAATCTGACTCCGCAACACATCCGGCTCCAACGGCTGTGGGCACACACACACACACACGTGAACAGAGGGCTTCCACACACTGACCTCACGCACCAGGTACCTGCGACGAGTGTGGGGACATGTAGAAAGCGCTCTGGGTGGTGGAGCCTGCAGACACACACACACACATGCAACGTCACACCACACACTGATGGACATCTTGCCCCAGTCATGCCTTTGCCTGTGTGTCGACGCACCTGGTCCGTTCTTGAGATCTTCGGCAGCAAATGCGTCTTCCTCTGTCACTGTCATGGCCTGCCCCTCAGGCAGGTCCACCCTCACACCACCGCCCAACCCGGACATTTCCTTGGTCGCCCGCCGGACCAAAGTCACCTCGGCGTCCTTGTCTTCCTTGCTCCCCTCCAGCCAGAGCTCATCTCTGAGCTCCTTTGCCGTTTCGGTGCTGGAGCGAAGCTGGGCGGGCTCTCGTGGCTAGCGCTTCATGTCCAAGCCCTCGACGATGGACTGCTCGCCATCGGCCGTGACCGGCTGGTTGGCGGGCTGGTTAACGGAAGGGCGGCGGCAGGAAGGGATACGGGAAGGCTTGTGCTTGTGCTTGTGCTCAAAAAGTGTAATGAGTTGCCGAACCTTCTTGCAGGACGGCTGAAGCTGCTGTCAGAAGTGCAAGTCGGTCCAGGGTTTAGGGTCTAGGGTTCATAGACCGACGATCCACTGATCTGTGAGACAGGACAGCTGTTGAGTCTTTGTCCGTTCCATGAGACAGGCCATGGCGGACAGGACGTCAGACAGGATGGACTGACGCATACTACATGTCCTACGTGGACTCTCCACAAAATCCACAGACCTTA